ACATGGGCATAGGTAACTTTTGTCATAAGCCATTACAATATTCAAATATGAAACTTACAAAAAATCGGTGAATAATGTAGCGAAAATCACCAAAATACCGCATATCGGGAGGTACCGTTATATGGGGCCTATACGAAGACGTGGAGCTGCACAGACAATCTCCTGTCACAGGCTGTAGCATCCATTACGAACATCAAATACCAAATTTGAAAGAATTCCGGTGAATAATGTCACTAAAATCCACAAAGTACCGAATATCGGGAGGTACCGTTATATGGGGGCTATACAAAAACTAGGTCCACGTTTTGGCCCTTTTTTAATACCAAAATTCCTGCATACATAATATACATTTGAGTATAATTTTATCAATCTACTTCAATTCCTTCGGAAGCTAGAGTGATTTCAACGGACAGACGGATAGACGAACAGAAGGAAGGACATCGCTAGAATTTTATGCTGATCAAGAATATATATACTTTGTGGGGTCTAAAATGTATATTTCGAGATGTTACAAACGGAATGACAAACCTAATATACCCTCCATACTATGGTGGAGGGTATAAAAATGCTAAATGGTACTACATATGCTATGACTGGTATAGAGCGGACGGCTAGAACTATAACTTTGAACATGATGCGATGTCATTTGTTGAGATGTAAAGTTGCAAATTTGTGCAATATATTTGCATTTCAAGGACTATATTTCCAAAATTCATCTTGGGTTGAGTAATCGAAGCTATTTTCGACGCATAATCTTTACTCCAGAACAATTATTGACACATATGGTATGATTTTGGATAGCTTAAAATGTCAGCAATAATTTGAATTTGCAGCAGGCTGCATCAGGCCCGAATTGACCAAATTTGCGGTCGATGAACTGTATGCAAGGGATGCATCTCATAGCTCTACTTAGCAAAATAAATTCGAAGGACTCGCAATGTAACAACTATGAGTTTTAAAGTTTAAAAATTGAGCTTAGAAATTTTATTAACACTTTTATATTGCAGTCAGGTATGGTTACCGCTTTATACCGGGGTGGCCGATTCAAGTTTGATAAAGTCCAAATGTTATGCCACCTTAGTCATTTTTAATGAAACAAATGTAACCTGCACCACAAATGGAATTAACTACATTTGCAATACATTGATTCGTATAAAATTCTAAGTCGATTTAGCTATGTTCGCCTGCCTGTCTGTCTGCCCTTGGAAACAAGATAGAGATTACACTGTATTATGTTGAGCTTCGGGACTTGACCTATATTGGACAGGTTTATGTATGAACAGATTTTGGGTGTTTTAAATATTTCGCTACAGCCAGACTAATTTGACATTTTTAGAGCATCATTTTTTATTATCTCTTTGTGCATTTGTTTGTAACACGGAGAAGGAAGTGGGATAGACCCATAGCTACTTTTGAGGATCTTCATAGAATCACTTTCTGAGTCGATTTATGCATGTCAGTCCGTCAGTCCATGTGTTTTTGTGAACAAAATGCAGACCGCTTTAGTTATCCGTTTGAGATGAAATTTTGAAAACAATATTTGTTTGACCAAGGACGAACCCTTTTGAAATGGGTGAGAATCGCTTCAAATCGAGATAAAGCTCCCGAATTCAGGGTGATATAAAAAAATGTAACAAAGTCGAACGCCACAATTTTTACATTTTTTTAAATGTTATTCAATGAAAGCAAAAAATGTCGGAAATAGCATCAAATTTTAAAATACGTTGTTGCAAAATCGTCAGGCAAAATCCCATTATTGTTGTTTTTATAAAAACAACGTTTGTTTATGACGTTTAGATTTGTTAGACCAAGCGAAGCAACTTTTTAGCTTTTTAGCATTTTTCGGCCACTGCGTCGCAGTTTTCGATCAAGTCTCTTCTTTACTTTTCGAACCATTTCTGCTACGCTACCATTATCACGGTAACGAGCGATTCACATTTAAATGCTGGAGTGCTCTATCGATAGCCACTTGTGGTTTTCCAGCCAAATATAAAGAAATCACACTAGGGTAAGTGTGCCTAAGTTCGGCATGTCCCAGAAGTCGGCACTTTTTATTTTTAAGCCCAAATAATGAAACTATTATAAATAAATGTATTTTGTTTACGTCAAATATAGTGCCAGCTATCTTTGTGCACAATTTCGCTCAGAAAAGATGATTTATTCTAATAAAAATTAAATTTTTGTCTTTGAAGGTCCTCAACAATCCATGTTCTTAGGAAAAGTACAATAAAGACGTCGAATCAGTTTAACTAAACAAAAATATTATATTTTAATGAATTAATTTATTATTATTAATTATTCTTACAAAAAAATTGGTTTGCCGACTGTTGGAACATGCCATAGCGACAATTAGCAAGTGGTGCCGACTACTGGCAAAAAAAAAACACTGTTTTAATAAAACTACAAATTTATGAAATTGAATAAAAGTTATTAAAACTTTATTATTATTGCAGAATCTATACAAAATTTCGAATCTGAATAAATTAACTTTGTAATAATTGAAAAGTTCTACTCAGAATGGTGACCGATTAAAAACGCGAAAATCCTAAAAGTGCCGACAACTGGTACACTTACCCTATCACGCTTGAATTCCATTACGAATAACTTTTTTTCTGGAAAATTCTCATTATAATGCTTTTGTACGCCTGTAAACAATATGATGAGCTGTCACTGGAATAATTTTAACAGCTGTCGGACGAGTGGCTTTATTTTTCATCTCACCCTATATTTGTCGATGTAGCTTGAATAAGATCGAGCATATTTTGCTCGAAGTCGAGTTGATTCCACTCTTGACACATAAACTTTTAGTTTTTGTATTTGTATATATATTTTCTTAAACCACAGATGCAAACCAAATAAAACCGATCACGTTACGATAACTGTCACCAATATGTACCAACAAAGTGTTATTGCTTTTTTGTCTTATGAGTTATTAACTGTTTTGCCTTATTAACTTTTTACACGACCCTTCCCTGAGTCTGCAGTAAATTAAGCCAAATAAATGTTTGCCGCTCGATTTCACTTTTAGAGTAAAATCTTACTCTATTTCGAGCGTTTCTCACTCTAATTTTTCAAACATCAGTAACCAAACAAAAGAGTGGAGAAGTAAACCCATCTACGGGATAGTTTCACTCCCAAACGAGCAAATACGTGTTCTTGTTTTGGATACAGTTCCTATACCGATACATCTTCGATTCGGTATTTTGCAGATCTCAGCACAATGTTTAAACAGATTTCTCTTGCAAAAATTGTTATATTCTGATCCGAGTGTTTAAATGGCTTCCATATATCGATATTCCTTGTCACATTTTTTAACTGTTTAGGAACTTCGTGGACAATCGATCTTTTCATAATTTAATTTTTTACATGGTAGAGGGTATATAACGCCGTTTCTTACTCATTATATTTTTTGATTTTTGAGCCAGAAGCAGTGGTTTACATTCTAATTCAGATAGGAGTAAATAAATCGATACAAAAAATCCCAAACCTGATTTTTGGCCGTAGTTAGTATATATCTGGTCTATAAATTATGTTGACAAGATATACAGTTTAACCCCCTTAGGCAGTATTAAGAGGCACAAATATTGGATCCAATCTAAGATCCCGTTTTAATTATACGAAATTAATGATTTTTTAAAATGTCTACACTTTGTGGAAGGTATCGAAAGAAGGAGATGTATTTATATGCCACTATTGAATTTATTTATTTATTTATTTTTGTATAAATATTTTAAGAAATTGTCACTGCTGACCTATTTTTAGGGTTTGTTGCCTTTAAACTATGGATAAAACCTTTGGTAACAATATTCAGAATTTTCAGGTATTAACACACAGAGGGTCTAAAACGCACTCGCCAAATTTTAGGAGTTTTTAAGGCTGGAGCCTTATGATCAAATTTAAGTTTTCAACAATGCTGGCCGCTTCTATTGGTACTTAAGAGTTGAGATGGAACGAACTAGTTCCTTATTTAGCTCCGTGAACTCCGGTCGTTGTATGAAAATTCTGCGTATGAGTGATATGAAATACGAGAAATTTATGAAATCACTCATACTTTTAGGAATTGGTGTACTGAACTATGAACTAGATTGACACAACTCTATTAACAACCAGTAAAAGCGGCCATCATTTTTTATTAGTTTGTGCATGTTTTTTATTTTATTTTAAAAAATTTAAATATATAGATGTTTTGATATTCAAATACAATATATTTGAGATCACATAAAAATATGTAAAATATAATGCAAAAATGGGCTCAAAGGAGTATTTTGTTGGGTACGAAAAGACAATATTATAAACTAAAAAAATGCATATTTACAGCGTATAAAAGACATTTTCGGAAAAGAAGAATTTTAAGTTGTTCGTTATTTCATATTTTTGCATTAATTTTGATTACTTTTTGGCTTACTTTATATATATTTGGAACATACTTTGTAATTCCATAAAATTTAAATTACCGAAAAATTGGAAAAAAATGATGTGTAGTTTAATTTTACTTTAATACGATAAGCTATGGTCATTTTTATTTACAATGTTATATTTTTTTATTTTTACAATGTAAAATATTCAAAAATCCGAAGTGATATCAAAATACCCTATGCACCCGGTCGATATACAATCTTGTATCTACAACTTAACTTGAAATTGTCTTTAAGGTAGTATAATAACCTCAAATTTTTTGCTTCAGTTTATAAATTCACCTCATGTCCGGAAGCAATAAAATAGTTCGCACCATGCGTGTTTGCAGTTCAGTGATTTTAGCTACACTTTTCCGGTCACAGTCAAAAAGTTATTGACATCAAAGAACGCTAACTCGAAATTGAAAAAAGAACCGAATTCGGAATTCTTTTTTATTTTTTAAAAAAGTTTGTTTTATATTTAATTCGTGCTCTTAACTGTAATTTAGATTTTAGTATTTTTGTTTTTTTTTTTAATTTTTTTGCTGTGAATGCATTTTTAAATGTTTCATCTTCTTCCTCTCTCTCCCTTTCTGTTCATTTCAGTGTATTTATATTTGAATCCTTCAAGTGGCAGCACTCAAATAAACCCAGACGGTAAGTAGAGTTTAATTAACAATTTCCCCACAACTTCTAAACTTGCAGCTTTTTTTTGTTGGTCTAAGAGCGAAAAACTAAAAAATAAAAAAATCGGCAAAAAATTCAAGTCTATTTATGTGTGTTGGTTGGTAGCGAGCGAAACTACTACCACCACCCCAATCAGCACTGCTACTTCTGCTACTACTTTGTCGACTTCTCACGGTTTCGCACATAAAAGGGAAGTGGGAATAATCACAACTCAAAACTCTTGTAATATTTTTGGCCAGATTTTAAAAGTTTGGTTTCCGTTTCCGTTTCTGCATTTGGTCGTGATGGTGATGATTTTTCGTCTATTCGTTGTATAAGTTTCTTTATTGTGTTTTCCTTTTATTTTCATTGCTCAGTGCCTTCCTTTACTTCCCGACTCATGATTTTGTTTGCTTTCCCGTTAGTAAACAGTGGTTTATTGTTATTTGTTTATAAAATTTTCATTTTTAAGCGATTTGGCTATTGACTTCCTTTTAGAAAGTTAGAGAAGCTGTACTTACTATCTTCACATTGACATTACCAGACTTTCTGTTTTTATTTCCGATTATTTATTTATTTGCTATGCTTCAATTTGAATGCTTATGCTGAAAAATATCCGCTTTTTTCAATACTTATTTTTACTGAGAAATGGAGAGCCCAAAAATATCAACAGCCAGACAAAATGCTTATCTTAAGGGAAATGCATTGTTCGCTAATCGAATGACATGGTAGGGGTGCTTTAATAAGAATATCCTGAAGGACATTTCCATACACACAGCTCTTTCTCTTCCAATTCAGACTAATTTACTCCTGAACTATATAGCAAATGGTTTTATCAGCGACTGAAGTAATCTAAGTCGCATTCAGGATCAACTCCAGGATACATGAACCAGGACCCACAATCCTTAAGTTAAAGTGTAAGTAGATATATTACAATTTTTTGTGGTTTTAATTGGCAAGCATGTGATAATACAGACGGCTTTATGTTATTCGATTGATATAGCCGACTTTATGTTATTCGAATATTCGTGTTGATAGAGTCTGCTTGATGTATTCTGGCTTATGGAACTCAGGTTGACGAAGTCGGCCAAACGATAATCGGGCTATAGAATTGTGTGTTAATCGGCAGCAGCAGCCGGCTCGACATGTTCGGTTAATGTAGTTGGTTTAGATCAGTCAAGGCAGAGAGCCTCAAATTTTTTTTGTGATTGTATGTGTTTTGAAATAACAAAATATTGCAAGTGTTTTTTTTGCCTCTCTTTACAGAGTGAGAAGTAATTGGTTATCTTTAAATTTTCAATTTAAAAATATCCGTTTTTAAAAACAACTTCGTTGTTAAAAATTAATATTTTGATCAGACAATTCGGAGATATATTTGCACAGTTATTTCAATTATGTCTCATTTTGAAATAAAAAAAAAAAAATATATAAGTTGACATTTTCAACAATTTTATATAATTTTATTAAAAAAAATTAAAAAAAAAATTATTAAACACAAATAATAATTTCGGACTTAACATCCGAACCATCTAAGTTGATACTTTAAAAATTAATACCGATTACCACAGGCTGACATACGCAAATAGTTTTAGAATTTTATGCTGATCAGAAACGAATATCCTGCGTTAGGTCCTAAAACATTATGTCTATGAATTACAAACAGAATGACAAACATCACATCTTATTATTTTCTTAATATTTACTAAGAACGTACATATAATTTCAGAGAAATCAAGGGATATGAAAATGTCCATTAATTTGGAAGGAAAAAAAATTGTCTAACAATATGAAATAAATTTCTATTCCTAACATGTGAGTTCGTATGCAAATTTTGTCAAATAGAATTCAATTAAACAAGATAATCTTAAAATTTATAACTTTTACAAATTCGGAAATATTTGTTCCGAATATGTAGTAAGATATATTTGTGCTCCAATATTTCTTACGGTGTATTCATAAAAATATCCGACAGCACCTTCCTCAACGACTCCTCGAACATAACTAAATATTCTCCCAAAAACAATTTGACAGAAAATTCAAAACAATTTATTTTTTACAATTGTGTTGGTGAACACACAGATATCCCAAGGGATACTCTTTGCCTAGCCTTGGTTTAGATCAGGGCTAGGCAGAGAGCCTCAAAAATTTTTTGTGATTGTATGTGTTTTGAAATAACAAAATATTACAAGTGTTTTTTTGGCTCTCTTTACAGAGTGAGAAATAATTTGTTATCTTTAAATTTTAAATTTAAAATTTTCTATTTTCAAAACAACTTATTGGTAAAATTAATATTCGATCAGACAATTCGGAGATATATTTGCACAATTATTTCAATTATGATTCATTTTAAAATAAAAAAATATATTAAAGTTTAAATTTTCAGAAAATTTATATAGTTTTGATGTTATTTGTGTTTAATAATTTCGGACATAACATGCTAACCATCTAAAGTAATACCGATTACCACAGACTGACATACGTAAATAGTCGTAGAATTTTATGTTGATCAAAAAATCATACCCTGCGTTCGGTCCTAATATATTATTTCTATGAATTACAAACAGAATGACAAACATCAGATCCTGTTCTTGACTAAGAACGTACATATCATTTCAGAGAAATCATGGGATATGAAAATGTCTATTAATTTGAAAGGACAATAAATTTATCTAACAATATTAAATAAATTTCTATTCCTAACATGTGAATTCGAATGCAAATTTTGTCAAATAGAATTCAATTAAAGAATATAAATCTTAAAAGTTGTAATTTTTACAATTTAGGAAATATTTGTTTCAAATATGTAGTAAGATATATTTGTGTTCCAATATTTCTTACGGTGTATTCATAGAAATATCCGACAGCACCTTCCTCAACGACTGCTCGAACAAAACTAAATATTCTCCCAAAACCATTTTGACAGAAAATTCAAAACATTTTTTTTTACAATTGTGTTGGTGAACACACAGATATCCCAAGGGATACTCTTTGCCTAGCCCTGGTTTAGATACAATTACGTATATCCACACCTTCGTTAAACACGCTAGAATTAGAATAAAGAGTGAAACTCTTTCGAAGTCTTGCGGCAGTACTCTTGGAAGTAGAAAAAAAAAGAAGCAAACTCTTTTTCGATATCGTTTTAGAGTGGGAGCAAAATCATTCGAAAACGAGCGGATTCTACTCCTGCTGATCACTCTTAGTTTTTCTATTATTTAATTTTGTTAACTCTTAAAGCAAACACTCACTCTATTTCGAAAGATTTGGCTGCGACTCAAATTTTTCAAACAAGATTAACTCGGGAGTGCCCCCACATAAGAGTGGTCAGTAAACTCTGTAGAAAACTCCCACTCTTTGAGCAATCCCGTACTTTTGGGGCATAATTTAAGTTGTAGCCTTATGACATAATGTGGCCTCTCCGTCTGTCGGGCTGGTGCACAACCCAACAACTCTCGAATGGAGTTTCCATATATTTGAATAACCATAAGTCTTATAAATTCGAAGTATGCTTCGGATTTATATCAATTCTAACACATTCCAATACTTCTACTAAGGCAAGATCTGTTATAAAGATAATATATGGCACTTCTTTGGATACTTGCCCCACAAAAGGTCCACATTTAGAATAATAAAAACTCTCGTAAAATGGGAAAATATGTTTAAGACTTTTTTGCGCACGTTTTAGATCCCTTCAGAAAATGGAAACACTTAAAAAATAAAGATCTCATATTCAGTGTAGGAAGGTAACCGGTATAATTCGAACTTTGCAAATCATAATTTTTAGATAAGGCTTAGGTCAGGAATATTGGCAATTAATTTTTTTACCCCCCATTAAAGTTATAAAATAGGGCTTCCGATAAAGTCCAAATTTAGTGTTCAGTAATATTTCTATAAGACTTAGGTTAGGAGCGAACATAGAAAATGTACCTCCCAAAATAATCTCAACATTTTGAATACCATTTAATCTCTTCTTCAACCATGTTACAGCTAGCTTCCAATTAAGAATTATTGGTCCATTCTTTATGTTCTCTCCCTTACAAGTATTTACATTACACAAAAAATATGATTCATATTTCACATAAAACCGAACTTGACTTCTGCATTATTTCTACAATTATAAGATATAGGATAAAGATGAATTATAAAAGTCTAATATTTATGGCGCAGATCTAAATGGGTAAACATAAATACGTTGTCAAATACCGAGGGTATATTTCAGGACGGACTAAAGCTTCCTAACTTGTTTTCCTTGAAAACTACAAATTTCGATTGGCTATAGTCGCTCCTTGCTCTATCACGTACAGTTTAAGTATTTTACCAAAGCAATAAGAGCATTTTTCTCATTACCATCTCAAAACTGCACTGTGCAACCACCACTCATTCATTCCCAAAAAAAACATCACACCCATAAACCCTATAAAATTGTTATATTGTGTTGTTGTGGGTGATGTTGTTTTCTTTTTGCAAACTTGAAATGTGAATTTCATTCTAACCACAGTTGAATCGATTGTTACTGCGAGTGGGTGTGAATTGGATGTTGATGTTGCACTAAACAAATGGTCCTGCCACTGGTTAACAGACACCAATCGCCAATAGCAAGTCATCAAGTTAATATCCTATCCATAACGTATACCGTCGTCTTCCACCCTCACCAATGCCAACAACAACAGCAACAACTTCAACACCAGTATATGTACGTGTGTATTTTTTGGGGTCACACAAAAAATTGTTATTTATGATTGAGTTCAATGTTTCCTTCCTTTGCACCTCCCGCTAGTCGGCAGCTAGCTTTTTTGCGCAAAGTTCACAAGAAGTAAGCAAACAACAACCACCGCAACACACACAAACACTCAACCCCAACGTATATTCAGTGTCTTACTGAAAATACCAACCGACACCGACCGAAACAACATCAATTTAACGCGATAATAAACAAAAAATATCGAAGTATAAAAAAAGAAAAGTCGGAAAATGCTAACTTTTCTACAAACTAATTTATATGAAACAGGTGTGCTCAGTGAAATA